AGAGAAAAAACCTTCAAAGAGTTAGTACCAGAGTGGGCACATGACTTCAAGAACTTATTCAAAAAGGAAAGCTTTGATGAGCTTCCACTGCTTAAACTCTGGGATCATGTGATCAAATTAATCTCAAATGCTAATGTCAATCTTGATTGCAAAACATACTCATTGGGAAATAACAAACAACAAGAGCTTGACAGGTTTCTTGATGAAAACCTGTCCAGCAGGAGAATTCGACCCTCCAAATCTCCCATGGCATCACCCTTCTTCTTCATTAAAAAGAAGGATGGTAAACTCTGCCCTGTCCAGGATTACAGAAAACTCAATGAGATGATGATTAAGAATCATTACCCTCTCCCTCTGATCTCTGAATTGATGGACAAACTATGGGGAGCCTGATTCTACACTAAACTCAATGTGCAGTGGGAATACAATAACATATGGATCAAGGAGGGAGACAAATAGAAGGCTGCCTTCTGAACCAACCAGGGACTCTTCAAACCAACAGTGATGTTCTTTGGACTCACCAACTCCCCAGTGACATTCCAATGGATGATAAACAACATCTTCAAGGATCTCATCTCCACTGGAAAGGTCACCATCTATCTTGATGACATTCTTATCATGTCAAAAACACAGGAGGAGTATAGGAAACTCATACAGCAGGTGCTAGAACTGATGAGGAAGCACAAACTATTCCTCAAAGCAGAGAAGTGCAAGTTCAAAGTACTCGAAACCAAGTACCTTGGAGTCATCATTAGTGAAGAAAGCATATGTATGGATCCCATCAAAGTCATAGGAGTCACTGAATGGCCAGTTCCCAACAAGAAAAAGGAACTCCAGTCCTTTCTAGGATTCATGAATTTCTACCAACGATTCATCTAAGACTACAGTAAAGTGGTCCATCCGATGACACAGCTTACTGGAAACACTCCCTGGGCCTGGGGGCTCTCTCAACAAGCCACCTTTGATGACCTCAAAAGGCAGCTGGCTGAAGATGTAGTCCTCGCCATCCTGAATCAAGAAGGAAGATTTCAAGTCAAAGCAGACTCTAGTGAGAGGGCAATAAGAGCAGTCTTGTCTCAAGAATAAGATGGCAAATGGTGACCAGTGGCCTTTCTCTCAAAGGCACTTTCTGTTATGGAACAAAATTTTGAAATATATGACAAAGAGTTACTTGCAATAATGCTCACCCTGGAGGAATTGTGACATTACCTAATTGGTGCCATAGAAGTCTTTGAGATCTGGACTGATCATCAGAATCTCCAATACTTCTGGCAGCCACAAAAGTTAAATTGAAGACAGGCCTAGTGGGTGACCAAGCTCAGCCAATACCAGTACACTCTCCACCACAAGGCTGGAATGGTGAACAAGAAGGCTGACCTCCTTAGCTGATGGGCAGATCATGATCAAGGTGAACAGGACAATGAGGGAGTAATACTCCTACAACCTCAACACTTCTGAGCCATGATAATGCCCACAGAAGAAGAAATCCACAAACAAATCAAAAGCACTACTCAGTACAGCCATAAATGGGACCAATGAGTGGCACCATCACTTAATCATGAGCAGGGAATGATGAAAGAAGGAGGGATGATCCAATACAATGGAAGAATCTATATTCCCCAAGACCATGCTCTACAAGGAGAAATCATTGCAACCTGTCATGACCATGCAACTGCTGGTCACCCAGGAATCACAAAAACCAAGGAACTTGTTCTATGAGAATACTGGTGGCTGAAGATGGGGAATGACATTACCCAATATGTTAAGGCATGCAAAGTCTGCCAAAGGGGAAAATTGTCAACCCAATCTCACATGGCATCTTTGCACCTGAATGAGGTCCCAACTTCACCATGGACCCATATTTTGGTAGATATGATCACCAGACTGCCTGATTGCAATGGCTATGATGCCATTATCATCATCATCAATCAATTCTCAAAAGCAATTATCCTGATCACCTGTTTCACAGAACTAACTTCAGAAGGCTGGGCCAAAATCCTATGTGACAAAGTCTACACCAAATATGGAATGCCACAAGTAGTAATTTCAGATTGTAGACCTCAGTTCATCTCCAAGTTTCTCAATGACCTGTATCATCTTCTCAATATCAAGCAAAATGCTTCCATGGCATACCATCCCCAAACAGACAGGCAGACAGAACATATCAATCAAGAAGTCGAAAAGTACCTTTATCTGTTTATCAACTATTGACAGGACAATTGGATGGAATGGTTGGCCCTCACCACCTTCCAACATAATAATCAAGTCCACTCTGCAACAGGCAAAATACCATTCTTTGTCAACCATGGATGACATCCAAACATTAGCTATACCAAGTGACACCACACCTCAATGCCTGCATTCTCAGACTTCACCACCAAAATGGCAAAGATCCACACTGAAACACAAGCAGTGCTTATAAAGGCTGCAGCAGCTATGAAGGTGCAATATGACAAACACTACCAGACCACACATGCATATGCACCTAAAAACAAGATCTAGCTGGATATGATGCACCTACACCTTCCACACCCTAAACAGAAACTTAGCAACAAATGCACAGGACCATTCATGATCCTTAAAAAGATCAGGGAGTCTGCATACAAACTTTAACTGCCCAACACCTGGAAAATACACGATGTCTTTAATGAAACCCTTCTATCACCATACATCACACTCACATTCCCAAATCAGGAATGCCCACCTCCTCCACCCCTGGATCTTATTGACAACAAAGAACATTATGAAGTCAATCAAGTCTTGAATCACAAACTACAAAAAATCAGAGCAAAAAGGGGAGAAACAACAACAACAGTTGACTATCTAGTCAGCTGGAAGGGATATAGGCCTGAATCCAACAAGTGGGTCAATGAGAAATTGATGAATGCAGATGAGGCCATACATGAGTATGAACTATCCTTAAATTAAGCCATCAGGACAATGGTCTTAAGGAGAGAGTAATGTTATGAGTTTTCTGCATTTTCCTTACTTTTAACCCCTATCTATGCTTAAGTCAGGGTGCTAACAACAAGTGCTTAGAACTGTGGGACAGAGCTTAGTCATCACAAATAGCTGAGTCCATCATTGTCTTTCAATGCAACAACATCATCCAACAATGCACAATGACCCTTTTATATATGATAATAACACTCTAGGACAACAGGCATAATGGACCCAGGAATACACAATAAGTAGTAGTATTATTAGCACTCTCTGTACAGTATTTAAGACTGTTTGCTCTTGCTGAAAAACCCCAGCTTCAAGCTAAAGTTTATTCATCTCATTCTACTCTCAAGCCAATCCCTCAGGCCTTGTGACATACTGATCAGGATACACATCAATGGACTCAGTTGATCATCCAAAGTGTGAGGTGACAACTGTTTATCACATGTTCCTGTTCATGTGATGCTTGAGTCTAACAATAACCTCAAATGTCTCATCTGAAATGAACACCTCCTGAACCATCATCTCCAGCAAGCCCCTCAGCCACACATGACACCCATTCCTTGTTGAGTATCCATCAAAATCTGCCCCTTTCACAACCTCTATTATCCTATCTCTTTCCTCTTGACTGAACTTGCCCAGAAAAAACAAAGTGTCTGGATCCTGCATCAGTCAATGAAGATGTGCAATGGGGGACTTGAAAGTGTAATCTCCTGGGATCCCAATGAGCTCAATGACTTGTATGACACAAGCCTAGTTGAGGGTACCATTGTTCCAGTACATCAAGATGTGGTGCTCAATGCCATTGTAGGAAGATCCAGCACCTTCAATGAAAACCTCCTTATCTGATTCATTGTCAGGCTGGACACTATACACATTCAGTGTGATGTTTTGAAGGGCACCCATGAGCATGAGATCCAATGAAGGCAAAATGCAGGTAGTGGATAAAAGACTGTCAGCAATTGTGGATGCTGCTACAATGGTGGCATCAATCAATAGAATGTGACATTTGCACTGGAAGTAGTTCCAATGATCAGTACAATGAGTGGATGTTATATTAATATTTCTATGATGTTTAGTCACAAGAAGAGACACATATTTAGGAGCAAAAGGGAAGGGGCCCTAAACAGCACATTATGTCCAAACTAACTGACAATTCTTTCTGTCACTCTTGTATTGACCATAATACATCTCTGCCATAGGACATAGTATACCATCTAACCTGATCAATGATATTTATATGGTATGGGCACAGTGGACATGTTAAGCCCAAGTGACATGTGACCTAAACATGTGATAAACAGATGCTGTACTGAGTTTGTTCAGTCACACCTGAGTTTACTATATGTGTTAACTCAGTGTTGTGTCTCAAGGCCAAAGACAGTTGGCTCAAGATAGAATGGTGAAGAATAAACTTTAGCTCAAAGCTGGAGATATACAGTGAGAGCTATACTACTTATATACTGTTTGTGTCCTGGTTAAATATATACCTACCAATTGTGCATTCCTATGCTACAGTGCTCATTGTCCTTGAGCATTGCTACTACCTACAAAAGAGTATTGTTCATCATCAAGGGGCTTGTCATTGTTAGAGGACAATGGCTGACTCTGCCTATTATGGTGACTAAGCTTGTCCCATGGTCCTAAGTGCTGATGTTAGATGCCCTGACTAAGGAAGATAGGGGTTAATCAAGAAAGGAAATAGAAAAATCATAACAGGACATCCCTAACAATAATGAAGGTATTTTTTGTCAGAGGGCCAGAAGGGGCCTAGTTTACAGAGGAAGATCATGTGCTCATTGCAAGTGCCCACACTCACCAGACTCATTTTGGTATTGGTATAGGGTAATGCACAAAACCTAGGTTCCAATACATGAAGGTAAATTCCAAGAGTCAAGAAAAAAACTGCCATTACCATGTGCCACTAATCCCCTTCGAGCAAGGTCAGTATAAAACCATAACTTACACCTTCTAGATGTTTCATGCACAACCCTAGCATAACCTTAGCCAAGTTTCAAATTTCACATTAAAAGGAAATTACCGCCTCTAGACTGGAAGAACACCCGCAGGATTTGAACCTGCATACTCACAGAGTAATAGATTCCTAATCTATCGCCTTAACCACTTGACTACAGTGGATGCAACAGGTGTTCCAATGATGATATCTAACATGCATACGTATCCATGGCTTCCTTTCAGTTCATTGACTCAAATCTACCATTTGTAGCGAGGGAGAAGGAGGTGGGACAACTCACTGGGTATTGATGAGGTCATTTTTTGGTCAGAGGTCCGAAAGGGGCGTAGTCTGTAAAGCGACGTTGTTGGGGGATCCGTGAATAGCTAGCATGAGTGGATGGCGGTTTGTGTCATTGCTGGAGGTTAGTCACAAAGATGGTCGAAGGTAGATGAGTAACCCAATTGTTGTTTGTAATCGTGAATGAGATCTGACATATTGGCGATTGCGTCGCCGAGAGAAGGTTGGAAAATCCTTGGATTCCTTTTCAAACTTCTTATTTTGATTGATGCGTAAAAGGGCCATTTCTAGCTGCTCTCGATAATGTTGTTTCTTTTTCGTTTGAATAGTTGCAACATGGACTAGGTACAGACACGGATCACGATCTTCCCAACGTGTTTTTGGCTCTCCATATATGCGTATGCTTCAGCAGCCTCCTCAAACGAGAACACCTTGTCAATCACTGGGCGTGTCGACTCTGGACGAGCACGTAAAAGACCGTTAATCGACTCCAACCTACATAAGAATTAGCATCGGAAAGGGAAAAGACAGACCATGCTCACTGTGCAAGAGAGCCACCCATAACTCCACGTAGAGTGACAGCCTTAAGGATACATGGAGCAATAACGTTCATCAGGGGAACGGGTGTCATCGAAAGAAATCCAATCAGATGAACGTGTCCCGCATAACGTACAGCCGCCATCGATTTCTCGAGAGTCCCAGGTCCTCCAACCTACAGTAGCTCCAAAGTCAGACAAAAGAAGGAACAAAGAGTAGCCGCACAATACCTCCAAAACATGATCGACACCCCTTCCGTCCGTCAGCCTAAGCACTTCCTTGTCCCAGTCGGGCGTCGTATTGTAATTGATTGTGTGCGCAGCGCCGAGTTTCTTGACGATAGCCAGCTTGGCATCGGAGGACGACGTTGCGATGACAGTGGCTCCAGAGGCGATAGCGAATTGTAAACCAAAACTACTTTGATCAGAATAAAAGCATTGAGCCAATCAGAAGATGCATACAGGGACACGGCGCTAGTTCCAAGGATGAGAACAGTATCGCCTGCTTTGACTGGGCTGGGACCCATGAGAGCATTGTACGCTGTCACAGCAGCGCACGGCAGCGCCGCCGCTTCTTCGTAAGACAGATGTTCCGGAATAGTGACCAGTGACTGAAAGCCAGTATGAGCGCTAGCATAAGGAAGAGAATCACATCAAAGTCCTCACATGAGCTGGGAAATCCTTGTATTCGGCCAATACGCCATGAATTTCCCCACCAAGCGCCGACTCCATTGTTCTCGGACCGGCTTCTCCATACAAGTGGTCTATCGTAGTATTGGCGGAGACTCTGTCGCCAATCTTCCACTGGGTCACGTCGGCACCGATTGCGACCACCTCTCCAGCCATGTCGGAGCATGGAACAAGGTTATCGGCTACTTTTCTTTGGTATCGACTCGAGGAGATATCCAGGTCCCGGTACTGGAGCGACACAGCATGTATTTTGACAAGGACACAGTTGGACTTGAGTTCAGGGAGGGAGATAGTCTGCAAGGTGAGATTGGTGTGGGATCCAAGAGTGGGGAAGTAGTACGAGCGTATGGTACTTGATATCTGCGCAGTCATTGCGAAGGAGAACGGGTAGGCAGATGAATAACCATGTCCATGTTTTATAACTCCGGCGACAGGAACGAGGAGAAGATTCGCGGCCGTGATGATTTCGAGACACACGCGTAATCCACGGAAAGAGGCTAAGCAATGAAGGGCAGAAGCGACGCGTAAGTGGAGAAGCCGAAGAGGCGTAAGCCAGGCAGACCTAAAAATAGAGTAACTATTCAGTATGTATAAAGTTTGAAGGGGTTAATAAATGAATCACTTCATCATTAGAACGTCTAATATTAGTCGGCCAATGCATGAGCACAAAGTCCGATGGAGGCGCAAGACGGTCATGGGTAGCAGATGAACGACTGTTGGCAATTGCCGGTGCTGGTGTTGCTGTGGCATCAGTCGACAGAGCATGACATTCGCACCGTAAGACCTAATAATCATAGAAGTGAGCGGCCATTATATTATCACAAGAAGAGACGCATATTTAGAGGGAACAGGAAAATCGAACGCACAGAATTATCTCGATTTAAACGCTCAGGTAAATGATGTTCAACGCAGATTCCGCCATCCGCGATTCTCACTGCACGTCCCTCAAGGAACGATATCAAGTCAGAACAATCTGACTACCGGGACCCTGTCTTGACAGTGACCCAAGTTCGGACCTAAGTACAGACGTAGCTCATAAGAGGGACCATCTGTTCTGCCAGGTCTACCAGAAAGAATCAACAGAGATTCGCAGGACTGGAATAATGTTGGACTCCTTGATGTTATCGGTCACTGATACAAGTGTGGAGACGTCATGTCATTGGCAAACGTCTCCCGCTGGGTCGCGGTCCAAGATCGAGCACCAAGACCCATGCCTCTGCGATGGCGTCATTCAGTGTTTTTGCAGCTGTTGTATTGTGTGTGGTGACGTACCTCTTTCAACAGAACGATGTCGTCCTAATGATCCTTCTTTGCAAGTAATTCATACTCAGAATTGATTTGCTCACGATACCAAGATCACTACGCAGCATGGTAGCAACGCCGTCGTACCAGCTTCCGGAAATGGCGGAGGAGTCGGAGGCTTGGACGGTTCTACTAGAGGGTCAATACCCCGTCTTTCCGATGGTACGTCCACATAGGAGATCACATCGCGAGCCAGAACAGCTGACGTAGCTGAAGGAAAGAAATCCGTTGTACTTACTCCAGTATCGCACTTCCAAGATCGGGTGATATTGTACATGAACCGTGGATGAATATTGCAGAGGATTTTGACTCCGGAACCTCTGGTAAGTCGGCCGTTGTCACCAGACCTGTATAATGGGAGAATTACAGTGGATTGGATTGAGGAGAACGAGCATGTGGCACAGTTTTCTGATTGATGTTAATTGCCTGAAAGAAGGAACACAAATTAATCCATCGTCTACAGCAAGATACGCGTAGTGTCACGGCTTCTATTTGTAGCTCAGTTATCACTCACTAGCGTAGGAGCTGGAGCGTGTATGGTGCAATGTCAGTCTAATAGCTAAAGGCAGATATCGAGTGACTGATACGGACGATTAGAAAGCGCAATACGACTGTCAGAAGGAATCATATTATCTGAGACTCGCAATATGGGAATTACTTTATGAGTCATGAACCAACTCCTGAGAATCGGGTAAATAGTAAAAGGGAGCTGATGGCAGGAAGCAAGAAGCGAATGTGATCTTATCGTCTAACCTTGCCCTAAAGTTCACGTGATCCCGACGCGTCCTTTTTTTCAAATTTGGTTTCGAACTTCCATTCTTGGTTGTTTGCTATTCTCCGCCTTTTGTTCCGCCCCTCACGAGGCCTCTCCGTGTATTCAAATCCAAAGTGTAACACTGTACTTGGTCTCCGGCTCATCAAGGGCCCTAGTCTAGTACCTTCAAGACTCGTGGTGAGCAAACTAGAAGCTGTTTTCCTGACATCAAGTCAGCTAATAGAGAAGCGGGCCACTTTATATCCTCTAAGAGAATTAAATCCGCGACACTCTATATCCATCATAGACCCCCCGAGAAGATAAGGACATCTCTCAGGCACTACCCAGTTCGGCTGTATCCCTTGGTGCAGACAGTGGTACACCATTGAAGGTGCGATGGCGTCCGCGTACAAAATCGTCTTGCTGATCGATGAAGTCTTCAGTTCGACCATGCTCTCCTTCTCTTGAAGGCCGTGATCTATCAGCCTATCAAAAGCTCGCAGGATCCCAGCTTTGGTAGGGTCTGTACTGCGGCAAACATTCTCCTGAGAGACCATAAAATCTGAGAAGGAATGGAAAATAAAACGAGTTGCCCACCAGTTCATGTAGGAGTAGGGAACGAGGTCGTCAGTTTCTTTCCGAAATGGAGATACGAGGATTAAGGAATGGAATAGTTTGGGATATTGAAGTGATGTGGGGGACGAGTAAGATTAATGTTTTCGAGGCGACCGTATGGATGTCCCACCAAGACGGGTTTTTTTTCTCTACGAGAACACGGGTCATTACCTCTGTCTCGTCTATGCGTATGATTCCGGCTAACCTCGCGTGGGAGATAGCCCGCGACGACATCTTCCACTGTGGCTGTATGGCCAAGATTCGGTGTAGCTTGTAGGTCAGGGACATGATGGCGCTTGCGGAATAACCAACTAAGAACATTTTCCATCAGGTAGGTGTATAGATACTAGCATACGTCGTACAGAAGGATCCTGAGGTAAGTCATATCATTTGAGCATAGCACAAGGAACGAAAATTGGTTCATGAGTCATGGGATTTTTGCTAATGGCTACTACAGCTGACGCGACAATGACCATCGCAGGACCGGGTGACCGGGTGATAGCTATTTCAGAGAACTTGAAACTGTGCGTCACAGCTTTGCGGGCATGACGGGTGGTAATTGCAGGAAACAGCTCCAGTAACTCTACTCGCATAAACAAATTTCCAGCGACATCGTAGACCGCGGCCCGCGGTCGTGAATCAAAGGTGCTAATCGGTGGCTGTGCGACCCCCTAAAAGGACGCTGATCGCAAATTCCTCCTTTCTTGGACTCGTACCACCATCTCCGTTTCTCTGTGCGCGAATTCCTGGCGCTGTCGTTTCTCCTTCTGCATATTTTCTTCTGAGAAATAACTCCACAACACGCGTCTTCGGTATCCTGGTTTATTAGTCCAATGGTTCATTGTTGAGGTGATTTGCAGCCTTGTTTAAGATCCACAGCAATAAAAAAACAAACCGAATAGCTCCCGATTCCCGCCGTTGTCGCGCAATGTGGGATTTGGTACGACGTCGCGACGTTGTTCCTATTCAAAACTGGTTTTCTGATGTTCTTTCGCAGGAGCTGGAAATATCTCATCTTCGCGTTCTCACAATCGCCATAATGACATCATTTCCAGACCAGTTATAAAAGACTGGGTGGATTACTCATCGACCTTCTTACCAATCCTCCACAATGGCTGCCCAGATACCAACCACCGCACGCTCGTACTACTTTCCCGCGCTTGGATCCTACACCAATCTCACTTTACAGACTACGCCCCTCCCGGCTCTCAAGTCGACCTACGTTCTCGTCAAAATCCACGCCGTGTCGCTCCAATTCCGCGACCTCATGATCGCCTTGAACAGATATAGTCATGGTAACCTACCAGAGAACCTCGTCCCATGCTCCGACATGGCTGGCGAGGTGGTCGCTGTTGGTTCTGACGTGACGCGCTGGGAGGTTGGCGATAGGGTCTGCGCCAACTTTGCGACGGACCACTTGGACGGAGATGTCAATGCTGAGACTACCAAGTCGGCTCTTGGCGGAGGACAACATGGTGTGTTAACAGATTACAGGTCTTTCCCGGATAATGTAACTTTCATTTTTTTTTTTTGATTCGTCCTACTCATACGGTATGTCAGTCTCTGGTCAAAATCCCCGGGCACTTGTCCTTTGAAGAAGCTTCGACGCTGCCTTGCGCTGCGCTTACTGCGTACAACGCACTCATGGGACCGAAGCCGGTCAAAGCAGGAGATACCGTCCTCGTTCTCGGAACAGGTGGAGTGTCCATGTATGTATGTCTCTCCTTCGCTCCAATGTTCCTCTTCTGATGGTGTTATCTAGCTTTGGCTTGCAATTCGCCGTCGCTTCTGGTGCCAACGTGATTGCTACGTCTTCTTCTGACGACAAGCTCGAAATTGCAAAGAAACTTGGGGCCACGCACACCATCAACTACAATACGACGCCCGATTGGGACAAGGGAAGTGCTGAGGCTCACCGAAGGGAGGGGTGTTGATCATATTTTGGAGGTATGCTTCTTCTTGAATTACATTACATTTCTTTCGCACTGATATATGTATTAGGTTGGTGGACCGGGGACATTTGAAAAGTCCCTGGCGTCGGTACGCTACGCAGGATACATCCACATCATTGGTTCTGTATCGAAGAATGCCTCTACGTTGACGAGTGTCATTGGGCCGTGTATCGGGAAGGCCATCATCCTTCGCGGAATTCGGGTTGGCTCTGTTGCACAGTGAGTTTTGGGATTCGCCCTTTCTCTTCTCTGAACGAAACGGATGTGTAGGTTCGAGTCGATGAACCGACTCCTTCGTGCTCGGCCCGAGCCGACGAGGCCGGCTGTAGATAGGGTGTTTTCGTTTGAGGAGGCGGTGGATGCGTATGCGTATTTGGAGAGTCAGAAGCATGTTGGGAAGGTTGTTATTAGGGTTAGTCAGGGGTTGGCGTAGTATGTCGTTCCTTCCTGGTTATGTTAACTTTTTGGCGGCTTTTCTTTGACTTCGTGTGTGCTTCCGTCGATGAGAGTTGACCCTGAACCGGACCAAACAGAGGATCCCAGGGTACGGATTCGCTCGTTGGGTTATGGTATTGATGTGGAATGGAGTGAACCCAGAGACTGAATGAAAGGGTATCAATGTATGAACAGTTCGGACATTTGTGTAAATTAATCTCTCCGCGACTTGTCCAATTTCGAATACGAATCTCATAGAAGCTAGTAGCATTGAAAACTAGGGGCATGGCGGGTACCGGATCCTTGCCCCCGGGGGTATTACGGTTTGGATCTGCTGACGCCGGTCCGCTCCATTGTCTTCCTCTTACCACGAGGTGCCAGTAAATGCGAAGCTGCGGGCAACTACAGCTTTGGCACCGCGTCGAGCACAATAGTACGTTTGGCTGTCAACGTTTCAAGTCCTCATTCATCTACGACTTCCAGCAGGGGACGGATTGGTTAAAGTGTTATGTTGGCTCGACGTTTCGGGTAGAAACAAACAGGTAAGTAGGTGATAACATGAATTAGATCGGAAATTAGTGATGCTTTTCCTCCTCGAAAAACAGGCGCATGATCCCTCGATCCCTGCATCTCCAACTTCGTGCCCATCTTGGTCTGGGGTCGAGGGGGACAATCTACGAAGGGACAAGGAGATGCGACGAGATGTAGTTGTCAGTAACAGGGTTATCTGTGCAGCGATTGGGTGGTGCGGTGTGGGGTGACTTGGGAATCGATGTGTCTGGATTCATGATCCTTCTCATCCATCCATGCATGTGATATCTGATCACATGCAAGGATGAATGAGAAGGATTGTGTGTGTGAGGATTGGGTGATCTTTGCGCCGGTTGGAGGAAAAGATTCAGCGATACCTTGATCTTGTATCGATGCTCATGTGTACTTGGAAACCATGATTGGAATGAAGGCACCCTTATATCTGCCATTGAGTGCTAGACCCTTGCAAAGCTGAGCTCCAAATTATCGTGCTGCACCCAACGGTGAGCTGAATTGGGGCGTACTGACAGGACACAGAAGAAAAGGCCTCAAGTATGAGTGCTGTTGGGTGTCTTTAAGAAGATGAAAAAGCCATGTTAATATTCGCTAAATTTGAGAAATACGCGAGTCGCGACTTATCGTCCTGAAGAAAACATTATTTAGTCTTGGAGTACACATACTCTGTTGGAATCTGCAAGAGAATTCGAGCAATCCGGCATTCCGGCATGCTGAGTAAGGAAAGAATCCGAGGGAAATTGAAGAAATTAGGTGCAGTCTAGTATAAATATGAGGGGAAACTCCTCAGGAGTTTGTAACCTAAAGGTCTTACAAGCATGTACTCTGGATACAGTCCAAATCTCAACATACTCCAACGCAAATCAATCGTTGTGATTGAGGTACCAAGGCACGAGTCAGAAACCTTGATTGTGAAGCCGCTCGTCGCACAGGATCATCCTATAATAAGCTAATGCGGGTCATTTGTTCGGCTCCGCAGGTCGAAATGAACAACCGGGCGGAAACAAATAACCCCGAGTCTCTGTATGAGTAAATCCGTTCAACGTACAGGACTCGAAATTATTGTTCAATACCTAGATTCACGTGAGTGAGGACCTAAGAATTGACAATTCCGCTTATTTTGAACATATACTTAGCGTTTCTTGGACTGTCGGTATTACATTAACTTTTGAAGATGAGTTCATGGCCGTGCGATTCTCGGAGACGTTGCTGAAAACGGCAGGACCCTGGTGCCACTGGCATCACGTGATGACTAGCCAGTCTGGTCGCGATTTCTTCTTGGACTCAAACCATCATCTTCCCCTAGCAGCAGGGCACGAAATACATATCAAGTGCACGAATAAAGGCAACTCTTTGAAGCAGGGGTACTACCGCAAGGTACGTAATATCGTGATGGACGAGAAAACGTTAATGAAAGGATCGTTTGATGTAGATCTTGACTATACATTGCACGAATTCGAGGCACCGCGAGACTCGAAAAGATATATTCTGAGTTGAATTTTTACGGTGCGTCAGCATTTCAGCCTTCGCTCGATGCCATAATGCTTAATGGATTGTTGACAGCGGATACCTCGGTTCAGTGTACGATACCGTAAAGCAGGCGCGTAATTCGTGCCTTTGAAGGCAGCAATTGGGAAGCTGAGCGAACTATAGGTTATTGGATCACCACGGGAGACAGCAATAAGAAGGTGCGTAGTACCTCGATAGCGCAATACTTGTCAAAATGTGTCTTCGCAGATGCTGAAACCGCGACAATCTGGGATCCCCACTCCCGGACGCGCGCGCTCCCTGTCTCGATCCCAATCATACAGCCACCTACCGACGGCGCACGAGGATGAAGAGCTATCTCGTGCATTTGAGGACGTTATGCGGGGGAGACCACCGAGCATCACTTCTTACCCCACCACTACTGCGCCGTCACGGGCGAAGACACCGGTCTCGAAGGCACCAGGGAAGCTCACTGCATCGACGAGCCGACCGCCGAGTAGGACCTCTGGGCGACCGCCGTCCAGCTTGCATACTTTTGAGGAAGGCGATAAGGTGCGCATCGAGAGCCTGGGGTTTGAGGGGACGCTGCGATATGTTGGGGAGATTGAGGGCAAAGCGGGGCTGTGGGCTGGCGTAGAGCTCGCTGGTGGCTTCGCTGGGAAAGGGAAGAATAATGGAAGTGTTGGGGGGTGAGTACAAAGGATCATATTGCTTTTCTTTTCACTTTCAACACCATTTTTTTTTTTGGTGATTTTTTGTCTTTCCTTACAATTTATCTTTCGCCGTTTGTTTGCTTTTCTGTATCTGGATGGCTAATACGCTTTTTCAGGAAGCAATACTTCACCTGTCCGCCACAATGCGGCGTTTTCGTCACGACAACAAAACTCAGTACAGCTACCGCAGGCGTAACGAAGAGACCGCCGTCAGGGCTAGCTGGGCGAGCGACGCCATCTTCATCCGGAAGACCGCCGTCTTCGCTGGGAGGACGAACTACACCTTCGATCTCGAATGGCAAAATCACATCTGGGGCCAATGGTCGGGTCACACCATCTATATCGAATGGAAGAGTCACGCCATCGATGAGTTATACAAGAAAACCGGCGGTACCAACGATTGCACCAGCTCCACGTCTACCTAGGAAGAGCATCATTAATACTGTGACGCCGACACCCGGCACCAGAGCCAGTAAATATGCCGGCATGACCGCTACGCAACTCCGGAGTTCGCCACAGAAGATCGCTTCGCCCAGTGGTATTGGCTTAGGTTCTCCCAGTGGAATTGGAAGGAGCTTAGCGTCCCCTAACAGGTCTATTTCGGCTGTAGGCGGCACGCCATCTTTGCCACTTACCACTCCGAAGCCATCCGGGAAGAGGCGAATACCCAGTGGTGTGGCGATGCCCCCTCCACCGTCACCAATCAGGTCTGGATCTCCAACGAGGAGTATTAGCGTTGGGAGCACAGCGTCTCCATCTCTCAGTATCGATTTAGATGCTCGAAGTCGGGATATACAAGCGCGTATAGCTGAGATATCCGGGGGAGGTACTGGGAAGGGCTTGGACTCGCCGTTTTCGGGGTCGTTGAAGACTGAAATGCTGCCGCCAACTTCAAGTCCGAGTACATCACGTACTAGTCCTGTCCCTAGACGTTCGATGGGTCTTGGGCTGACACCGTCATCTCCGAGTCTGAGAAGGTCGAAAGATCCTGGTCCTGCTCTTCGTCCGGAATCGAGTATTTCGATGAGAAGTGACGGAAGGGTGGAGGCGCTGATAGATGATAATGAGCGTCTTCGAGCTGATGTGGAACGGTTGAAGGTGGATTTGGCGAAATTGGAGAGCGAGAAGACGATGAAGGATGAGGAGAGGCAGGGGTTGAAGCTGGAGGTTGAGCGAGCGAAAGGACTGAAGGAGGAGGAAGAGAAGAGGCGCGAGGAGCTGGAGAGTAAGCGAGAGGAGCTGGAGACGAGACGCGAGGAACTGGAGAAGCGAGTGTCAGAGCTCGAAGGTCAGATACGCGAGAAGGACGCTGCTGGTGATGCCCACGCGAGAGCACTTGCTGATTTGGAAAGCAAGTATAAGGAGGGCGAAGCGGAGGGTGGGAAGCTGAAGAAGGCCATCCTGGCTTTGGAGGAAGAGCGGCATGACTTGATGAGTCAAGTGGACGAGCTTAGGGAGGCTGGACAAGAGACGATTGCGCTGTATGAAGAGCGACTCCGGGCGACCGATGTGCAAAAGTACGAGATGCAAGACCGACTTGCCGAGCTGGAAGCGCGTGTTCCTGCTGCTGCTCCTCCGGCCATTACCCTCAGCGCTGGGCAAGAGATCGACAACGAGACGCTGAGGGACCAGGTGCTGCACCTACAGAAGAAGATTGCGGGTCTGGAGGATATGGTCGAGGATGGGAGAGTTGCTGCTGAGCGCGAGGAAGGGGCGTGGAGGGAGAGGATGAAGAAGGCGAAAGAGGAGAAGGAGGCGATGAGGAGGGAGCTAGGGGAGGGTAAGAGGGAGGCGGGGCGGGCGAGGGCGAGCGAGGATGAAGAGAGAGGACGGAGAGGTGAGGCTGAAGAAGCGCTGAGGGAGAGTATGGTTACTTTGGAAGAAGCTAGGGCTGAGCTTGAGGGACTGAGAAGCGAGTTTAACGTAAGAGCCTTCTTTTTATTCGGTTGTGCTTTTTCCGTGTGTTCAAAATTTTTTTTTCTTCTTGTTAACAGCAGCTTAATGGTCTCGAAGGCAAGGAGGAGCTTGCGCGCAAGAACGCGGAGCTGCAGCAGATTGCGGAGGAGCAGGTCGCCCAGCTGGGTAAGCTGCATCAGCGGTTGGACGACCAGGCTGTGGAGCTCGAGGCGTTGAGGAAGAAGGTTAACCGAGAGGTTGTTGTTACGTCGTCGAAGAGTGAGATGAAGAGTGCGCAGGAGGAGATAAGGGGTCTGAAGCATATTGTGCGGGAGCTCCAGGCTGAGGCGTCCCGGTTGGAGAGCGAGAACAAGATGCTTATCGGGGAGATGGAGGAGTTGCGCCAGGTGGGTTGGGATCCTGGTATGTATGAGGTTCATACCCCAGCTGATGAGGGGTTTTTTTAAAATAGGAGGTCAAGATCCTGGAAGATAGCATGGATAGAGAAGAGGAGGGTGCTTTGAGTGACGATGCAGATGTTGAGGATTTGAGGAAGAAGCTTGCAGAGGCTGAGAAGAAGAATTTGAGGGTTGCGAGTGATGTAAGCGGGGGAGTTTCTTTTTGGTGGGTGGATTGCATGCTGATTGTGGTTTTTTGGGGGGACAGCTCAATAAGGAGATCAGCGAGCTGGAGGCTTTGGTGGAGAGTAAGATATATCGGGAGGTGAGCGTGGTTTCTCTTCTTTTTGTTTTTTTAGGATCCCCGGCCAGTCGGAAGCTGTCTTCTCTTCGAAATCCTACGCTCGTCTTCCCTTTGTATTTGTATGCTTACCACAAACTCCCACAGGACGAACTCGAACAAGAGATTGAACGCCTTAAAGCCAAGTTGGCGAAGAAATCGTCTTCGTCCTCAAAACACAGCGACACTTCGTCGATACGCCGTGTCCCCTCTACGTCGAGTCTTGATGCCAGTGTCGTTTGCGAAATCTGTGAACGGCCTGGGCATGATATCTTCAGCTGCGATTTGTTGAAGGGGGATGCTCCCGCTCCTATCAATGGTACGGGAGGGTCGATGAATGGGGGGAACAAGAGCTTGTTCTGCGAGGACTGCGAAAGCTATGGGCACCTGCCGGTGGATTGTCCACATTCTATGGATGTTTTCTGAATTTTTTTCCATGCCAATATTTCATCTCATTTTTTTTTTCATCATTGATACCCATCCACATTCATTTTTGGTTCCCATTTATCTCAACTCATGTGTACACAGTATCACTCTCGTTTGTTTCGCTTTCATAGGTGCTTTCATTTTTCATTCCGGATATGTTATTCTTTCTTTCTGCCCATTTTCTCTCCTTTCGGTTTCTGTTTCGGAGTTATAGGTATCCGTATACTCACAACTTATGTAGGTACTAGAGCGGTATAATGGAAATAAAACAGGGTCTAGCTGGGAGCCGGGTACGAGGCCACGAAGTCCTTGCTGTCTATCTTTTTTTTCTGACTCTTCTCTTCAGAATCACGGGGCCAAAAGGTTCCGCACAAGTCTTCTTGATGCCATGATTCCGCTACCAAGGCCTTTGGAATCACTCATAACAACGACGAGACCGAGTTCTCGTCATAGCACTCACACTACTCAGAATCCCAACCCAACATTCAGCCACGCTGTCACCATGATTATAAAAACATGAGCGTCGTTCTTCGTCTGCCTACCGTTTTCTTCTTTGGATCCCCCCAGAATGACTGTGCAAATGCCAACCGCCACACGCTCGTACTACTTCCCCACTCTCGGATCCTACACCAATCTCACCTTGCAGAGTACCCCTCCCCCCTTCCTGCGCTCAAGTCTACCTGCGTCCTTGTCAAAATATATGCAGTGTCGCTCCAGTACCGTGACCTGCTTATCGCATTGCTCGATAACCTTGTCCCGTGCTGCGACATGGCTGGAGAGGTGGTCGCCATCGGTGCCGACGTGAACCAGTAGAAGGTCGCTGACAGAGTCTGCGCCAATCCTACGATGGACTTTCTTGGATGGAGACGTCGATGAGGACACGTTGGACAGGGCGCTTGGTGGAGGCCGTCAGGGCGTGTTGACTGAATACAGGGACTTCCCAGCTCATGTGAGAGGGCTTTCGCTGTGATTCTCTTTCCCTTATGCTCGTGCTCATTACTGGCCTTCCTTTTAGGCACTGGTCAAAATTCCGGAACATTTATCCTACGAAGAGGCATCGACATTGCCTTGTGCTACTTTGACGGCTCTTGGGGCGACCCAGGCCGGTCAAAGCGGGTGATACTGTTCTCATCCTTGGAACTGGTGGGGTGTCTATGTATCTATCTTCCCATTGACTCAACGCTTTTTGTTCTGATCGATGTAGTTTTTGGTTTACAGTTCGCTATTGCCTCTGGAGCCACTGCCATCGCAACGTCGTCCTCTGATGCTAAGCTGGCTATCGTCAAGACACTCGGCGCTGCGCACACGGTCAATTATAATATGACGTCCGATCCGACTGGGACAAGGAAGTGCTCAGGCTGACGGACGGATGGGGTGTCGATCATGTTTTGGAGGTACCGTGCGGCTACTTTTTGTTTTCTACCCTTTTCTGACTTTGTGGAGCATATTTTAGGTTGGAGGATCTGGGAAATCGGTAGTGACTGGACACGTTCATATGATCGGATTCGTTTCGCAAAAAACTACTATTGCGCTAACGAACATTATCGGTTTGTGTATCCGTAAGGTTGTCACTCTACGGGAAGTTCTGATCGGCTCTCTCGCACAGTGAGCTATGATTTGTCTTTTTCCTTTCCCATACTAATTCATATATGTAGGTTTGAGTCGATGAACAGTCTTTTACGTGAGTCGACGCGTCCGGTGATCGGTGATCGACAAGGTGTTCAAGCTTGAAGAAGCCGTCGATGCATATGCTTATATGGAGAGCCAGAAACATGTTGGGAAGGTCCTGATCCGTGTCTACATTGTAACTATTCAAACTAAGAAGAAACTGTGTTATCTGGAGCAGCCACAATCGTAATGCGATCTGTGGATATAGTTAGACTTCTTTGCCTTTCAGGCTTCAACGATCAGAAAAGGAATCAAGGAAACATCTGTCCTTCCCCGACGCAGTGGTCGTCATGTCACTGGAACTGCGTCGTGGGGTTCGCTAGAATCCTGGCCCCCGAGTGCACGTGACTTCGCCGCGTCTCCCAACTCCTTCACGATCTCCCTGGTGATCATAATTCATATTGAGTAATTAATGGATTATTCATCTATCTTTCAACACACACACCAGCTACCAGCTACGACACGCTCGTAGTACTTTCCCGCTCGTGGATCCTACAACAATCTCGTTCTACTTCCATTCCGGCTTCTGAGCCACTCATCAAAGTACATGCTGTATCTTTGCAGTGCGCTGGAAAGTCGATGACAGGGGGGGAAGGGGGTACGCTAATTTCTCGACAGACTTCCCGGATGGCCAGATTTCTTGGATACATCACTCGGAGGAGGGCTGCATGGCGTGTTGGCCGAATACAGGGATTTTCCAGGCTGCGTGAGGGGCTTTCGCACTTGGCCGATACGCTGTGGTGTTTTCGATGCCAGACACAAGCCAGTTAACCGCGATCGTCCTTAGAACTGGTGATAATTACTCAACGGGTCCTATTCTCACTAATTTACTTTTTTTCAGTTCTCAACTTGCCGCCTGCCTCGTAGGCCACTCAGCCTATCGGCCTCCTCTGGGCTTGGTACTGTTCATATCATCCATTAGTCATGGAAATGTATAGTCTTCCGAATGGAAGGAGGGACCAATCATGTTTTAAAAGTACGGAAGATTGTTATCTGCGCGGTCCTAGAGATGGCTAGCAGCTGACTAGAGGACTCGTTACTAAAGGAATTTGTTTTTAAATCCGCCTGACTGTTCCTCTGTGCAGTGTTGGGAACGTCGTGATGGGTGTCGGTATCAAGTCCTCGTTTGTAACTATCGAAACCCAAAGGGGACCAATATAAACTGGAGGAACTAAACATCTGCAGATATAATTGTTACCTCGGCCCCACTCATAGAAAATGGGATCAAGGAAATAGCCGTCCTCCCCTGGTGCTGGAACCGTATAGGATGTGGGACTCGATGGTGACAAATCGCAGATGAAGTTACGGTAATCCCACCCTCAGGCTAATGGGCACATGATCACGGAGGATTCGTACCCGCGCCAACTCTTCGAATGCAATCGTCATCATGTCAGCATCTCCCTGATGATTATAAACAAGTGTATTACTCATCTACCTTCGATCGTCTTTATAACACCACAATAAACTCTCTATACGACTTAACCCCCAACAATGACAGCCCAGATACCAACTGCCACCCGCTCGTACTACTTCCCTACTCGAGGATCGTACAAGAATCTCGCTCTGCAGACTACGCCCATCCCAGCGCTCCGGTCCACAAGTGTCCTCGTCAAAGTACGCGCTGTATCTCTGCAGTACCGCGACCTCCTCGTTGCCTCCAATCGATACGGTATATCTGGCATAAAGGAGAATCTTGTCCCATGCTCCGACATGGCAGGGGAAGTAGTCGCAACAGGCTCCGATGTGACGCGCTGGAAAGTCGGCGACAGGGTTTGCGCCAATTTCACGACAGACCACCTGGATGGCGACATCACTGCTGAAATCTTTGATACATCCCTCGGGGCAGCGCTCCATGGCGTGTTGACCGAATACAGGGATTTCCCAGACTACGTGAGAGTTTTCCGCGGTTTATTGCCAAATGTATTTCTCACTTACCCGAGCATTGGATCTCTAGTGTCTGGTCAGGATCCCCGAACATCTATCTTACGAAGAGGCTTCGACTTTGCCGTGTGCTGCTCTGACGGCGTACAACGCACTTCTGGGTCCCAAGCCGGTCAAAGCCGGTGACACGGTTCTCGTCCTGGGAACTGGTGGAGTATCCATGTATGCATAATCAATTTTCTAAAAGGATCTTCCCATGACGTCTATGTAAGCTCTGGTTTGCAATTCGCCATCGCTTCCGGTGCTACCGTCATAGCAACCTCCTCCTCTGATGCCAAACTCGCTATCGCGAAGAAACTCGGTGCAGCCCACACCATCAATTACAACACGACGCCTGACTGGGACAAGGAAGTTGTCAGACTCACCGAAGGAAGAGGTGTCGACCACATCTTGGAGGTCAGGATCGATTTCTGTCTTCCTGTTTTTTCCGCTCTAAAACGCTTCTCACCCCCTATCTTAGGTTGGAGGACCAGGAACTCTTGAGAAATCGATCGCTGCTGTACGCTACGCAGGCTACATCCATATCATTGGATTCGTGGCAAAGAACCCGGCCCCGCTTACCAACATCATCGGGTCTTGTATCGGCAAGGCCATCATCCTTCGAGGAATTCTGATCGGGTCTGTCGCACAGTGAGTTTGTTTCCTCCCACCGTTTTGTCCCCCTCCGCCTCCTTCGCTTATAAATGGTTTTAAAAAAATCTTTTCCTTAGATTCGAGTCGATGAACCGGCTCATCTGTGCTCGGCCTGAGTTGACGCGCCCCGTTATTGACAAGGTGTTCAAGTTTGACGAAGCCATTGACGCGTATGCTTATTTGGAGAGCCAGAAGCATGTTGGGAAAGTTGTCATTCGAGTTGCAACAGTGTAGAAAATGGTGTAGGAAGTCATAGTAATTGTCTGATCAACGATGTAAAAGGATAATAAAGGTGAAGTGAGAGTCATTATTGACAAGGGCCTACGAAGGTATGAAATTGGAACGTTCTGGAGTATGAAGAGCATGCATTACCGCCTATGGAATGCCGAAACCAAGATTTTGCGATGGACGTTGAGTTTAAGTTGCGCTTGGCCCGTCGGCCCGATCACCGGTCTATAATTCCCTAGAAGCTAGTACCACAATACTACCACGCTATTCTGGAGGAAGGACTGCCGGCTCCTTGCGGATGACCATTGATTTTTTTTCCCGGCGAGTGATCCATTCCTGCACTATGAACAGCCCGCTGAAATAGGGCCTTTTGATTATCTTCAATGACTTGACGAAATTGGCCTGGTATCATTGGAAGGTCTACTACTAATGCATACTCAGGAATGGTCATAGAACAGTTACCTTTACCTGTGGCAATGTTTTGTCTTGACCCAGCTTCATGCTTCTTAATTCTCAGGACTTTTATATCTTTTATCTCAACCCTCATCTCTTGCACCTCGATCCTTTGACTTACGCTCTGACCGAATTTCCTGCTGATCCCCGGAAACAAAGGTAAATGAATGATGTTGTAAGAACTCAGTCTGTGCAGTAAGAGTAAAACGACTTTATTGGTAGTCTACCATACTTAAAGGAGCATTTCATTGATCATGACCAGCTCTTGCCTCTTTTTGCCTGTGACAGTATCCTTGCAGCGAAGAACACCATGGTAAAGATAGAGGTTCTGGTGTGGTGGTTCTGAGTCAAGATAAAATGATGATCGCCACCTGAACTTGATCCCGACCGATACACTATTCACTCGCCTGATATATACAATTTGGGGACCAATAAATCCTACAATGTGGGTCCATATGGGTGCACTGTTCCGATATTTGGGTGTGCGGACGGATCGGCACCTGAGTCTACGGTATACACATGGATTGTTGTCAGTGCTTGTATGGAAGGGAACCGTTACGTAGAGGAAGGGTCTGATCCAGACGACATGCCCTTGAGAACGAAAAGTGTAGCTGGGGCCCGTCAGGCCTGGGCTTCTCGTCATACTGGTCAGCCTGTTGGTTGTAGTTGATACATCAGCAGATGCTCCGCACATCCTGCCTTTTTCTTTAATTAGATCGTAGTGCTGATATTACTGTAGTACCGGCGCAGTTACGACTCGCAGCGTCCGGTGTTCATGCGGCGGCACGATAGATGTCAGATTATGGATATCATTGGATAAATAACCGGTGATACATTCGTTCTATCCAAATCTACGTGTTCGGTTCTAGTACCATGAGGAAATGCTATGCCGTTTCATAAATGCAACAAAAACTTCCACAACCAATGCCTTTAATTCATCCACCATACTGAACATCTAGGCTCTCTTAGCAGAGCGTGTGCCATCTTGCGGAAAGATCGTCATCCTCAAAACAAAAGGGCTCATCCAGAATGAGCGTCTGCAAGGTTGTGCCACCCTCAATGGCTTCGCTTCGAGATGTGACCATCCCAACGATGATATTGTTGGCATCCTCAAATTCAAATGTCGACCCTCTCAAGTCTATCCAGCATAGCTAAGGGACCAACCGTGAAAACTGTCTTCCTTCCGAGCTGGAGAAAGACATCATCGGTCGTCACCTTGCCACCGAGTTTCAGGTTCCTCAGGAACGGGGTGTGCTTCAATAGGTGCGTCAACATTTGATTGTCGAGAGCCATTGAATCTTCCATCTGTATACACAGATACTCCAACACCGGCGCAGTCTCTGTAGTGAATTCCGGTAAAACGATACTATCATCCTCTCCTGGGTCACTGATTCCATCTGTAACTGGAGGAGCCCCGGCAAAGCGAGTCTTGAAAACAGTTCAGCTATGGATCTCTCGACATTCTCGGTTATGATCAGCGCCTGAGGATGGGCGTGCCAACACACGTCTGCCGAAAATCTGCCATACACCAAATTTGGCGCTTTTTGTAAGAGGGCGAGGGGCTGCATACTGTTCCCCTGTAACGACACTTTGGTGATTTGTCCTGACAGAAAATGAAATAGGTCGTGAAAGAGAGTCCTCCCATCCCATTCTGTGAGTCCTAACTCTTGTAACTGCGGTGCAAAGCGGAATGCTTCGATCATGGCTATCGGCTCGGTTTCTGCGTCTGGTTCACCATGTAGGTATACAGAAAGCGAAGTAAGGGCACTCAGTGAACCGGAAATGTTGTTGAAAATGCGGAATGCGGAGAAGGAAAGACCGACGAAGAGTGTTTTCCAGCGGGGAGAGGTGGAGAGAATTATGGGAAGAATGGGATCGTCCGATGTATCCTCACTACTCTCGATAGCGACAGTAAGGTGGTGTGTACCGGACCTTCCCAAATATGTTCCGAGACGGAATAATGAACGTGTGTGGCCCTGGTATCTGTGAAGTTGGAGCCGGACGAATGACCAGAGACTAGGTGTAGTCAAAGCAGCTTGTCGCCATCGAGATGAGACATAGGATAAGTTCCACGGAGAATTCGTGACGTTGAGGGAGTCCAGCAATGAAGTATCCGTGTCACTATCACTGGACTGTAACAGCTCGCTGTCCGGAAGGATACATGAAAGAAAGATGTAGCTCAAAATCTCGGGGGGTAAACGACGGACGGGATTCAAGACCAACTTCGAGTCGGCGATGTGCTTGACCGCCCGGTTCTGCTCTTTCAAGAGTGAGTCGAGGGTATTCTGGGTTTGTGATATACGTTGCTGGAGGAAGGCGAAATATTGCTCTCCCTCACGGATAACGGCTTCTAGTTCCGCACGTTCGGCACTTACAGGAGCGTCATTACAGGCAAAAAAATCCTGCAGTCGAGCGACGGAGATCCCATTGGGAAGGGGCTTTTCAGATGGCGCGAACCCGCACTGAGGACACTGAGATAGGGTTGTGATCATAGTCATAGTTTCGTAGTCTGAGTCAATGAAGCTGAAGAATATCGACATTAGACGTAGCATAGAAAAACCCAGTCAAAGGCACCTTTTGGCCCGTTCTCTTGTGATATTGTTATCTGAAAATACATGATACCGCAAACATGTCGACTTAAGAGCAGGCCAACTGAGTTTAGAAGCAGCATTCGCACTTAGCATCTTCTTGCGGATCGACGCGTTTTGGAATGCCTTGATTTTGGCCATTGCAGCCGCTTTTCGCTGCGTAGACTAGTACATCATTTTCTACCGCTAATCGCCCCAGAGTTAATTGTCCTACTGTATAGATTTATCATGTCCGCGCATCACTATTAATCAGGAAGCAGTAAATCCTAGATAACGTTAACATATACAATTAATAAAATATTTAGAAAGGAGTTGAGATGAGATCCCACAACGACACACAAATGTCAGAGCAGAAGTCGACGTTAACAGCAGCAGCAAGGTTCTTCTCGCCGGTCTAACACCATTGATAACACCAACAAGACGGCGACCCGCTCGCTCTGCAAACATGTACGTCCAGCCCCCCCTCCATCAGCATCTTGAGAGTACAGGGGTCCCCAATATCAAGATAATCATAATCCGCCATCCTCGACCACGAAAACTTTCTCAACTGCACTCCTCCTCCTCCTCCAGCACGACGCCGCGACCTGACCATCTCCACCAGCGCCGCGCCGCCGCCCCCCTCCACACACCACCCCTGCAGCACCAGCACCTCCAGCTTCGGGAGGAGCACGCACCCCCCCTCGCCTCCGCCCCTAACGGTCAGCGCTGCGAGCGCATCCCGCGAGATGCACTCCACCGAGCCCGCGGGGAACCATCCCGCCTCGCGCGGCGTCAACTCCTGCACCGTGAGCTCCCGCACCCCCGTGAACGCGGGCAGCGCGAGGCATGAATAGAACTCGCTGCCCTGCATGCCCGTGCGGCGGAGCGTGATGCGCTCCAGTGTGCACTGGGCGCGGGTGAGCCATGCCGCGAAGGCGGCGTGTGGCCAAGTGGGGGTGGGGCCGGACAAGAGGTTGATTGAGAGGGTGAGCGAGCAGAGCGCGGGGGCGTGGAGCGGGGCAGCGAAGAGCGCGGGGAGGACATCGCCAGAGAGGGTGAGCGCGAGGGCGGCAAGGCGGGGTTGGGCGATCGTGTGGCCTGGTGGTTGGTGTGGGCGGACGTGCTGCTCGGTTGATGGGTCGAGGCGGTGGAACGCGGCGCCGTCGACGCTTATGGTGCAGCGCTCGAGGAGAGGGCATAGCGCGAGGAGCGCGAGGCAGGTGGAGATGTAGCTGAGGTTGTTGAGTGTGAGCTCGGTGAGGCCTGCCCAGGGGATGCAGTAAGGGTCATCGAGGCATCTGAAGATGCTGATGCCGGCGACGGCGAGGCTGGAGAAGGTCGGCGCGGAGGTGAGGTGCTGGAGGGCACTGGTGAGTTCACGCGTCATGATGGTTGGCGCACTGACGGGATAGAATAGGTACACAGAGCGCAGGTCCCGTGGGACGACGTTGTTGTGCTCCGCGAGGGCGCGGAGCACCTCGTCACAGCAGAAGTGGAGAGACGTGCTGCCACCTGTGTATATCGCATAAGCAATTGACCGTCGTACTCAGTCTGGCCTATTATCCACTGCGTAAAAGTAACCTGCCTGCAACAGGTTATGAGCCCCACGCTTTAAGGCCTATTTCGAGTTTTTTTTTCCTTCACATCTTGCTTGTGCCCTGCTATCTCTCCATCAGTCATTTCACTACTGAAACGATATCACCACATACATCATGCCATCCTTCGACACAATCAAAAAAGGCTTCGACAATCTAAATGCCTCCAACTATGGTGAGTGGGAAGAAAACATGTCGGCCCTACTCAAAACTCGCTGCGAGTACCTTATCACCATTGGCTGTGACCCTGAACCGGAGTTTGCAGACCCCGAGAAGCCAACATATCAGGAGAGGAAGGACTGGAAGGACTGGAAGGAGACTCAGGTATCGGCTGCTGGCACAATCTACCTCTGCCTTGATGAATCCCAGAAGGCTCATGTCAAGAGCTGTCTTGACGATCCAGAGAGGATGTGGGACA